CGCGCTTTGCCACCCGGTCCCGAACCGAGAGCGGCACTCTTCATGGTCCGCGCTTTGCCACCCGGTCCCGCACCGGGAGCGGCACTCTTCATGGTCCGCGTCCAGATCACCGAGGGGTATAAAGAACGGGCACCCTTGGGTCGGAACTCATCCCGTCACGATGGAAACACCAAACGAAGAAGCAAACCAGCGCTCAAAAGAAAATCCGTCCGTTTCCGGACGAAATCTGCCCGTTTCCGGGCGAACCACCCGGCCAGTACCGGGAATAGGGACCCGCATCCAGCGGTCCGACGCCGAGCAGCGACGTCGGAACTTGGTGCTCTTGGAGGCACCTCCGCCTCCCCCGGGCAGACGCCGACCTATCCCGGTGAACACCCGGCATCGACGACCACCGGTCCTCTCCGACTCCCCGGCCTCCACCGTCGCCGGCGTCACCAGGCCCACGACGACACCGGCCAGCGCACGCCAGCCCGCTCGACCATCCGCGAACCGATCGGTTCCCTCAACCGGCACCCGCCGACACACGCCATCCGCTGTCGCACCGCCAGCCACCACGCGCCAGTCAGCGACGCCTGACGAAGCGGACCAGCCAGCGCATCGCGCCAACACAGGCCAACAGGTGCGATCCCTTGTCGCGCCACCAGCCAGGGAGCCACCCCAACCGGCACCACGCCGACCTCCAACCGGCCAGGCCCCACCAGTGCCAGCACCACGCCCGGGACCGCCACGACCCATCCAGGTCACTCTGGGGGATGGCCAAACCGTCGACATACCGTACCACGCCGCCACCATCTCACGGCGGTATAAGGTACGCACCCCGACGGGCCGGTGGATCATCAGATTCGACCGACGAGGAAGACCGCGAACGATCCGTCGAATAGCCACCCCCCCCTAGAAAAGGAGGGTGATGTGACGACCCGATTAGCCGTCACTAGTCGCCCGCGCTCGTGTAAACGGCCCCTTTCGGGGCCACCACACGAATACGTTGGGAATCCGCCTTTTCGCCCCCACCCGTCACTCGACCCCCTCCAAGCTAGTCTTAGAGTGGGGTGGCCGACGGGTATAAAGAGCGGCGCAGCCGAGACTTCGACACCAGTCCCGTCCTGGTCCCTCGAGCGTACTCAGGGATCACTCCTCAACTCCCACACTCCAAATCACCCCGGCCGACGAGCGTTCTCGTCGTGCAGGCCGAGCGTTCTCGGTCACCGGGTCCTGTCCGTAACTCACCCCGGCCGACGAGCGTTCTCGTCGTGCAGGCCGAGCGTCCTCGGTCACCGGGTCCTGTCCGTAAATCACCCCGGCCGACGAGCGTTCTCGTCGTGCAGGCCGAGCGTTCTCGGTCACCGGGTCCTGTCCGTAAATCACCCCGGCCGACGAGCGTTCTCGTCGTGCAGGCCGAGCGTCCTCGGTCACCGGGTCCTGTCCGTAAATCACCCCGGCCGACGAGCGTTCTCGTCGTGCAGGCCGAGCGTTCTCGGTCACCGGGTCCTGTCCGTAACTCACCCCGGCCGACGAGCGTTCTCGTCGTGCAGGCCGAGCGTCCTCGGTCACCGGGTCCTGTCCGTAAATCACCCCGGCCGACGAGCGTTCTCGTCGTGCAGGCCGAGCGTTCTCGGTCACCGGGTCCTGTCCGTAACTCACCCCGGCCGACGAGCGTTCTCGTCGTGCAGGCCGAGCGTCCTCGGTCACCGGGTCCTGTCCGTAAATCACCCCGGCCGACGAGCGTTCTCGTCGTGCAGGCCGAGCGTTCTCGGTCACCGGGTCCTGTCCGTAAATCACCCCGGCCGACGAGCGTTCTCGTCGTGCAGGCCGAGCGTCCTCGGTCACCGGGTCCTGTCCGTAAATCACCCCGGCCGACGAGCGTTCTCGTCGTGCAGGCCGAGCGTTCTCGGTCACCGGGTCCTGTCCGTAATCACCCCGGCCGACGAGCGTTCTCGTCGTGCAGGCCGAGCGTCCTCGGTCACCGGGTCCTGTCCGTAAGTCACCCCGGCCGACGAGCGTTCTCGTCGTGCAGGCCGAGCGTTCTCGGTCACCGAGTCCTGTCCATAAATCACCCCGGCCGACGAGCGTTCTCGTCGTGCAGGCCGAGCGTCCTCGGTCCCCGGGTCCTGTCCGTAAATCACCCCGGCCGACGAGCGTTCTCGTCGTGCAGGCCGAGCGTCCTCGGTCACCGGGTCCTACCTGAAAGTCACCGGCGCCCGACGGAGCTCGCCCTTCTCAGGGCGCCCGTACGCGTGTCCGCGTTGGAAACTCTAGCAATAAGTCGTGTCCGCGTCCGTATAATCTGGTCGCGTCTCGTCCGTAATATTTCTATCCGTCAATCCTAGCAATAAGTCGTGTCCGCGTCCGTATAATCTGGTCGCGTCTCGTCCGTAATATTTCTATCTGTCAATCCTAGCAATAAGTCGTGTACGCGTCTGTATCATCTGGTCGCGTTTCGTCCGATTATACTGTGCTGTGTATAATGGTTTGAATCACGGGAGAACCACAGGAAGGTGGCCCCGAATAAACTCTACTTTTACCAGAGCAACCGTGTGTCATTGTAAATCTGAGTCTCCCCTCTTCCCGAATCCTGGCACCGACGAGCCGATCCGTGGCGTCGGGAAAGGTGCTTCGTTACACAAATAATAACAAAGTAAGACTCTTCTCTCGACTGTACTGGCAAATATTATATATTTATTAATCACAACGTTTCGACCCTTCTTTGAGTCCTTATCAAGTGATTTGTAAAAATAAAAATAAAATTATAATTTAAAGATGTCAAGAACGAACATAGTGTCGATTTTGTTGTCTCCAATAACTCGTCTAAGAGTCTTGACGTGTTGTCAAACCGACACTATGTTCGTTCTTGACATCTTTGAATTGTAATTTTATTTTTATTTTTATAAATCACTTGATAAGAACTCAAAGAAGGATCGAAACGTTGTGATTAATAAATAATATTTGCCAGTACGGTCGAGAGAAGAGTCTTACTTTTTTAAATTCTGTCTGGCGATTCTCAAATATCTACGTTTTAAATAATAACAAGTTATTGTACTTAGATATCAAATTTATTACAAAAATAATTAATTAAAATATTATAATGTTTAGATTATGATACCAATCTGCTGCGTATATTTTATTATCGTGTTTACATGATTTAAATAGAATCTTTCTTAATAATGTACGCATATGTATATATAAGAATGACGTCATGTTTTATAATTCAAAATCCACGTCTTATTATAAACACAGGTATTATAACACAGGTATTAAAACTTGCATTATCGATTATTGTGGCACGCGCCCATTTTTTAAATACGTTTATCTTTGACATGTGCGCATTTCTAAAATTCCTTTATCAGTGTTAAATACATATCAAAATAAAGATATGTAATTACAAATAAATCGTAAAGGGTTGAAGTCCCAGCAACACTTCATCTCGATGCTTTAGTAGACAGATAATGAAAAAAATCTCTATTTTTCACCAATAAAAATGACTATTTTAAACTTATAATTAAATATATTATAAATATTACAATATTCAAATATATAATTATGAATAAACACGATGTCTTGTATTATTACAATTTATATATTGTACACTACAATTATCTCAAAAACAATATTTTGTCATTGTTTTTATGATTTGTGGTGCGCAATAATAGAAAAAATATGTAAATTGCGTTGTAGTAAACACAATATAATAAATTATTTTGTAATAGAAAATTTATCATGGATAGAAACCTATTATAAAAAAATACAGTTTTCTCAATTTTCGTTGCACTACCCAAGAATTAAGAGAATATCAACAATTTCGTAAAAAGAATAGAACCTATAATAAATTAATTTATTATCAATTTATTACGAAACAACATTAAAAATTTCGTTCCAAAAATTTTATAAATAATAACTTTCTTGTTTTAATTTTTTCAGTTTTCCCCAAAATATAATCAAATCTACAAATAATTTTAACAGAAAATTGATCGTTTTAAATGTTTCTGATATCTGCCGAATGACAGTAAATATATAATTAATAAAATCAGATTGAAGACGTTTTTTAAAATAAATTTCTTTCTTAATTAATTATTTTACGAAAATCGCATAACGATAGAAAATTTTCCTACTTGGTTCGATCCATATATTATCTGCATACGAGAGATGGAATTATTATAAGCCACTCTGTATACAAGAGTGTCCATATAATCTTTTTTAACATTTTCACCAAACATATATCTATCATAACAGCATATAATTTCGTGAATAGTATCACTGTATCACTTATCAATATTTGTACTAAATTTGTCCACGTTTTTTACTTATATGCGAAAAAATTATATAAAATTATTTCATAGTCTCTATTTAAGTTGTATACAGAGAAACAAAGAAAAATAAATAAAAATTATATAAAAAAATAAAAATTAAAAATAAAAATAAAATTGAAAATAAATAAATAAAACAAACGTTATCTCTATACCTATACATCATCATATACATGTATAAACACATGTTCGTTGATACTCGTTGCTCAAAGATTTGATATAATTACACAGCCAAACCTTGATTTTATGAACCTTCCTTCTGATAATACAGTCAAATTTGTTTATGTCGATATGCTTAACAATCAATGTTCTTAATATTATCTCGTCAATCTTCCACTATTTTTCCTCACTACTTAATGATACTCATACGTAGAGAGTGTAAATGTCGTCATAATCATAAAAAGATCAAACAATCTTTTTATTCTTACTTATTACTCTTCTCCTTTAATCCATATTTTTCTTCTATGCGCAAAATAAGAATGTCGCTATTTATTTATGACGACATTTACACTCTCTACGTATGAGTATCATTAAGTAGTGAGGAAAAATGGTGGAAGATTGACGAGATAATATTAAGAACATTGATTGTTAAGCATATCGACATAAACAAATTTGACTGTATTATCAGAAGGAATTACGATATTGTAAATAAATGCGACAGAAAGGAGGGTGGAAAATTGTTTTATATAAATATCACTGACGGTATCAAAAAGTCACAGTATATCTGATCGAATCATTACGTTTGGCAGTATTCAAAGAGAAACAAAATGAGAACTCTTGTCGTTGTTTGTGTATTGGTAAGTATAACGCAGCTAATATGCATCTTAGAAGAATCTTTTATTAACCATTTTGCAATTAACATTTTGTTTGACAAATTTAAAAAATTATAATAATGCATATGAATATAATAATATGTACTATGTGATATTTTAACGTATGTATCTTTGAATAATACTCTCGAACATAATCGTGTAAAAGATTAAAATAAAATAATTATGAGCGTCGACGTATCTATTGATGATTAAAGTTTTGATAAATTTAAGAATTTTATTGTACTTATAGAATGACTTTTTTAAATATATTTTTTAATCATTTTTAATAATTTTCATATTTTAAATATTATACAAAAAATATTAATCTTTTATAATATTATTTCTAAATGTATATTTTTGAAAGTTTTTAAAAATAATATAAATTATTTTTTATTCTAGATGTTAGTTTATGCCGAAAGCGCAATAGGAACCAACAAAACCGGAAGCGGCCAAATCATATGCCAGCAATCCAAAAGCGGCATAACCGGACCGGAGCTCATAGATTGTGTAGAACTATGTGGACACAAATCGTATGCAAATATGAATGATACGGGTATGATAATGATTATTAATGTAGTATTAAATAATATAATCGATTATAATATTAGAATATTAAATAATAATATTCTGCAGAGTGCAATATAATAGATTTATTTATTAAAATTGTAATTTTAAATTATATCAAGTTACAACAATTTTATTATTAATTAAGATGTAATAAATGATTAGCTTTCATACGTGTTTCGCAACTAAAAAAATTTTTTTTAATTTTTTATAAAAGGTAAAATTAGTATCATTATTTAAAACGTCATAAAAAAGATAAATGTATAATACTACAATAAAAAGAATCTAAACTAATTTATACACATTCAAACTAATATTTTTTTAATATTCATCTAATCACATTCATCAAACTAATGATACATACATATAATAATACATATATATACCATATATATATATATATATATATATATATATATATATATAAAAAATATATAATAAAATATATAAATAAATACATGTGTATATATATATATATATATATATAAAATATATAAATAAATATGTGTATATATATGTATATATCAATATTCAACCTGAAACTTTTATTTTATATATATTATATATATTATTATATATATTATTATATTATTATATATATATATAAATAAAAGTTTCAGGTTGAATATTGATTTTATATATATATATATATATTTATATATATATATATATATATAAAATTTCATATAAAATATTGATTATATATTATATATATATATATATATATATATATACATATATATAAAATCAATATTCAACCTGAAACTTTTATTTTTCATAAAATAATTATAGTTCTTTTCATAGAGAAGCTGTCATCACGAGAATTAATAACAGTTTGATAAACGAAACCAGTCACGCGTGCAGCGCACGTGTTATCGAGTATTATAAAAAATTGTTATTAATTATTTATTTAATTAAAGTCCAATTGTTACTCTATGTTGAAATTATCAAGCAAAATTTTGAAAAATGTGCTATTATTATTAAAAAAATGATCACAAAATAAAGGAACATCGAAATATATTGAAAATGAAACGATTCGTATTGCTGTTACAAAAACAGTTGTATAATTAATTCTACAGATATTTTCCTAATATAAAAAGATTTCGATTGACATTTTGACTGATAAGTCGATGGAGTAATTACATTTATAACAGTAAAGTGAGAGAGAAATACTATTAATATAAGGTGTAAACCTTGAAAAAAATAACGTTAAAGAAGACAAGAGATGATACTGTTTACAAATTATATATAAATTTAAACAGATTTGAAAATAGATCTGCCTATTTAACTATTTAATCTCAAACTGTCAATATTTACATTTTAAACTATAATATATTGTGAAATTTGTCATTTCAGAAGCGTGCGATTCGCTCACATGTGCGGGCTATGCATGCAATGCAGTATGTATATATTTGATTTTATAATAAATATTAAACACATTTATACTACACACATATACATATAATATATACATATATTTGGGAGAAAAGTGTAACTTCTTTTATCAATAAAACTTGTAAATGTTCCCAAGATCATAATGACATTTAATTTTATGTATCTTTCCAAAGATATTATATGTATATACATGTTATATGTATATAATATTATACTGTATATGCATATATTTTAGCGGTTGTTCATTAGTTATTAAAAAATTTATAATTAAAATTTTGAACATTTAAATGAGTATGCGTAAAGAAAAAAATAAAAAAGAATAATAGTAAAAAATAATAATGCATTCTTTTATTAAATTACAATAAAAACATAAAATAAGGAAATATCTTTTATATATATATGTACATACAATATATACACGTGCACACACATATTAATACATTATTAAATTTTGATAATATAACATCGAAATTTTTGTCTTGTACAAACAATACCATTTATTTATTTTCATTTATTTTGTGTAAGATTTCAATAAACAATAAACAACCGCTAAAATTTTTTGATGGAATTATAATTTTGGCAGTATACTTATGCCAAAGTCAAGATCATAAAGTAGGAGAAAAACGTTTTTTAAAATTAAGATTCCTTAAGAATTTATAGTTGTTTAAATTGATAAATTTATATTAATTTTAGGTCAATGACAAAAAAGGGATCGATATACTAAAGGTTATGAACATGTGTAAAAGTTGCGTCACCCCTCCGACCAATCAAATGAAGTGCCTAATCAATACTATTTACTGCTATCAAGGTAACCGATACACGTATTACATTATTAAGTATAATTGTTATTATTATTACATTATATTATATTAATAAGAATAATTAATTATATATTACTTTTATTAAAAATACTCTTATATTATAAAGATAAATATAAAGCTAAAGATAATCAATATCGATATATAGGTCATGAAGATTTATTTCTTATTTTTGTTTTCAACAACAGAAATAAATCATTAAAACATTAAGTTTTTGCTATGTATCTTACGGATTTTAATTTAAGTGAGTTTTGTATTTTCTATTTCATCGATTTCATAATGAGCAATCTCTCGATAACTTTAATTATTTTCCGAAATCAATTAATTTAATGCTTCGGTATCAATTATATAATTAAATTACTTTATTTATATCTATTCTAATATAATTCACAGTGTTTATAAAATTTATTTTTATTTTAAAATAAAAGTTGAATAAAGAAAAATGAAGTATAATTAAAAATTGATAACACAATATAAATTAAATATAATAAAAATAAACTAATTTAATAAAAATAATAATAATCTAAATAAAAGCCAACTATAAAGCCAGTAATTATTAGATCAATACATTTACTATTACGGATTAAAACACAATTTTATTTGTTCAAATTTATGATATCCAAATTTTGTTACTTCTAAATAATTAATTAACATGCATAATATTTAATTATATTGAAGAAGACTGTTGTATAGTCGAAACGTACAGATGTAAAGTATTTTGATTATATGTTTTAATACGTAATAATAAATGTATTAACACCCTAATCATTATAGCTCCTTTATTTAGATTATTTAAGTTATGTTTTGAAATAATACAATCAAATCGTTTTAAATTTATATAAAAATAATAATGATAATAATTAATATAAATTAGAATAATTAATTAATATAATTTTAGACATATGTCTAAAATAAAAATAAATTTATTTTCCAATATCTATTATTATTCAAATGTTCCAGAAAAATAATTATATAAATCGTAAAAAAATTTAATATATAAAAATAATTATGTCAAGTAATATCCTTAAATTATAAAAGTAGTCTTTACAATTTGGCTTATTACTGTATGGATGTTAAAATAATATAAAATGTTGGAAAAAATTAAATGGTTTTTTATTCTAATTGCAGAGATTGCATGTCTACAAGAAGACACGCAGAGCAATATCAAAAAATTCTTTCAGTGCGTAGTCAAACTTAAGACGATGGACTATGTCGATAAAGAGTAATAAGAACGAAAATTGCAATACATAAATACGAATTCTCTTGTAAACGGAATGGCAAATACTTATAATAGTAAACTTTAGAAAGTTAATGTTTCAATTTTCAAATTTTGTTGTATTATTATAACTGAAATGTAGATTACAATTGTACAAGTTGTACAATTGTAAATTATACCAAATAAATAATATTCCTGCAACTTATATTGACTAATACAATTTTTATTATTTATATTAATTGTTGTAAATCGAAGTTTAGTTTTTAGGAAGCATTTCATTTTTTATTACACAACTCGCTATAATTATTCTGTCTAAATAGGATCTTGCACATTTTATATTTGCTTTTTGGCCTACTTAAATAAATATTTTAGTTTATACAAAACGCGGCGCGAAATAAAATATCCAGAATTGAATAATAGGATAATATTATTAATTTTCTAAATTATTTAGAAAATATTTTTGCTGATTAATATTTTTTTATTATATTAATTTCCACACAATTTCATATGTTTTAGCTCTCAAACATTTATTTGGTTAATATATACATTTTTATTTATTTTTTTTATTATTATATTTTTTATTATAATACAATTTTATTTATTTTTTATCATTTAATTATTATTCCTTTTTTTAAATTTTACTTATTACTAGCCAGATATTTTTTGCTTACGTCTAAAGTACCCACCGCTAATCCACTATTATTAGCTCTCATACAATTTCACAATTCTTCAAATTACTTGAGATATTGTAATTTAGATAACGCTGATCAAACAATTCCCAGAGCACAGAGTCCGAAAATCAAAACTATAAAAGTTACATTGAATTGAAAGTAAGTGCCATTGGAGTTTAAAAAAACTGCTAGTTTTTGAATGTATAAATGTAAGTAAATATCCCTGATAAATCAGTATGAAGTTTTATTGCAAATAGCTATAAAAATTATTCTAAACATATAATGTATTAAAATGTTATATTCAGATATTATATGATACTAATTTGCTGCGTATATTTTATTATCATGTTTATATGTGCTTTAAGTAAAAGCCTTCTTAACAATGTACGCATATATAAGAATGACGTCATGTTTTATAATTCAGAATCCAAGTATTACCATAATCAATGGTATTAAACCTTGCATTATTGATTGCTGTGGCACGTGCCCATTTTTATAATTCATTTATATGTGTTAAATACGTATCCAAATAAAGATACGTAATTGCAAATAAATCGTAAAGGGTTGGGTCCCAACAAGATTTTATCTCGAGGCTTTCATGGACCAATAATGGAAGAAATCTCTATTTTTCACCAATATAAAAATGACTATTTTAAATTTATAATTATAAATATTATAAATATGATACTCAAATATATAATTATGAATAAATACTTGTCTTGTTTTATTACAATTTATATATTGTACACTACAATTATCTGAAAAATAATATTTTGTCATTATTTTTATGATTTGTGGTGCGCAAGAATAGAAAAAATATGTATCTCGAGTTGTTGTAAACACAATTTAATAAATTATTATGTAATTGAAAAATTATCACGGATAGAAACCTATTAAAATAAATACAGTTCTCTCAATCTTCGTTGCACTACCCAAGGACTAAGAGAATATCAACAATTTCATTAAAAAAAATAAAACCTATAATACATTAATTTATTATCAATTTATTACAGAACAACATAGAAAATTCCTTTCAAAAAATATTTTAAATAATAACTTTCTTGATTTAATTTTTCAATTTTCTCCAAAATATAATATCCAATCTGCATTTAATTTAATCTGCAATTAATTTTAACAGAAAATTGATCGTTTTAAATGTTTCTGATATCTGTCAAATGACAGTAAATATATAATTAAATAAAATCGGATTGAAGCCGTTTTTTAAAATAAATTTCTTAATTAATTAATTAATTATTTTACAAACATCGTCTAACAATTGAGAAATTTTCCTACTTGGTTCGATTCATATTATCTGCATACGAGAGATGCAATTATTATAAACCACTCTGTACGTATACAAGTGTGTATATAATCTTTTTTAACATTTTCACAAAATATATATTTATATAATATATAACAGCATAATAAATATTTATATTTAATTTTGTAAATAGTATCATTGTATTACTTATCAATATTTCTACGAAATTTGTCCAAGTTTTTTACTCGTGCAAAAAAATATAATAAAATTATTTCCTTCTCCCTATTTATGTTGTATGAAAAGAAACAAAGAAAAAAAATAAAAGTTAAAGAAAAAATAAAAATTGAAAATAAAAAAATAAAACAAACGTTATTTCTATACCTATACATCATCATATGTGTGTGTGTGTGTGTGTGTGTGTGTGTGTGTGTGTGTGTGTGTGTGTATATATATATATATAATACGTGTTCGTTAATACTCATTGCTCAAAGAGTCGTTAATTACACAGCTAAACCTTAATTTTATGAACCAAGATTAAACAATTTTTATTCTCATTTACTACTCTTCTCCTTTAATCCATATTTTTCTTTTATGCGCAAAATAAGAATGTCGCTATTTATTCATGACGACATTTTCACTCTCTACGTATGGGTATCATTAAGTAGTGGGAAAAAATAGTGGGAGACTGACGAGATAATATTAAGAACATTGATTGTTAAGCATATCGACATAAACAAATTTGACTGTATTATCAGAAGGAATTATGATAATGTAAATAAATGCGACAGAAAGGAGGGTGGAAAATTGTTTTATATAAATATCACTGACGGAATCCAAGAGTCACAGTACAACTGATCAAATCATTACGTTTGGCAATACTACATACAAAGAGAAACAAAATGAGAACTCTTGTCGTTGCTTGTGTATTAGTGAGTATAAAGCAGCAAATATGCATGAAAAAGAAAAGAACTAATATTTTTTATCATCATTATAAAAGTTTAAAATACGTGTAAAAAATATTCGTATTATGTCTAAAATATTCGTATTATTTCCTAAAAATAAAATCTTGTCACTAAAGTAATGAAAAATATCTTTCGTGATTAACTCGGTATAATTTAGATTTTTCACAAAAATTTTCTGAATCATTTTTTTCTTTTTTTAAAGAAAACATTCGATATAATTTTGTTTCTGGAAACCTATTTTTTTAAAAACGTTTTCTGATATTTAAAAATTAGAAAATTTTATTTTACATTATAAATAATTATACTTTCTTAAATTAAAATTTTTTATGTGTACTAAAACAATATGTAATTTAAAAAAAAAAACTGAAAGTTTTTATTATTTAATATAAAAACTGTGTTAATCTAAGTATGTTTCTCTTGAAAGAAAAAATTTAATGTCTTTGAATAATACTTTTGGACATAATCGTGTAAAAAGATACAGTAATATAAAATAAGTTATTTTAAACGACGTATCTATTGATGGTTAAAGTTTCGATAAATTTAAGAATTTTATTGTACCTACAGAATGATTTTTTAAATATATTTTTTTAATAATTTTTATATTTTAAATATCCTAGAAACAAAAAATAGTAATCTTTTATATATGTTTGTTCTAAATGTATATTTTTGAAAATTTTAAAAAAAATATAGATTATTTTTGATTCTAGATGTTAGTTTATGCCGCCGAAAGCATAAGCAAAACCGAAAACAGCTTAAACGATATCAAGTTAATGATCGAAGGCCTAAACGGAACGCAGTTAAGAGAGCTTATAAGAAACTGTGGAAAGAAAGAGATTGAAATGATGAGTGATGAGGGTAAAATATTGATTATTAATTGATTATTAATGTATTAAATAATATAATCGATTATATTATTATAGTATTGAATAATAATATTCTGCATAATGCAATATGAAAATTGTAGTTAAGAGAGCTTATTGTATTGAAATGATGAGTGATGAGGGTAAAATTGATTATTAATGTATTTATATAATCGATTATATTATATAGTATTGAATAATAATATATAATGCAATATAATAGATTTAACTGTTAAAATTGTAGTGTAAAATTATATCAAGTTACAACAATTTTATTATTAATTAAGATATAAAAAAATTTTTTAAATTTTTTATAAAAGATAAAGTTAGTAACGTTATTTAAAACATTATAAAAAGAGATAAATGTATAATACCACAGTAAAAGGAATCTAAACTAATTTATACACATTAAAATTAATATTTATCTAATATTCATCTAATCACAATTATCAAACTAATAATACATATATATATTAATATATATATATATATATATATGTATATATATACATATATACATACATATATATAAAAAATATATAATAAAATATATAAATAAATACATGTGTGTATATATATATATATATATATATATATATAAAATATATAAAAAAATGTGTATATATATGTATATATATATATATATATATATATATATATATATATATATATGTATATGTATATGTATATGTAATCAATATTCAACTTGAAACTTTTATTTTTCATAAAATAATTATAGTTCTTTTCATTGAGAGGCTGTCATCGCGAGAATTCTTAACAGTTTGACAGTTGTTCAAAATAAAATAAAATAAAATAAAATTATTAGATGAAACCAGACAATGTCGCGCGCGCAGTGCTTGTGTTGTCAAGTATTATAAAATTGTTATTAATTATTTATTTAATTAAAGTCCAATTGTCACACTATGTTGAAATTATCAAGCAATATTTTGCAAAATGTTATTATTATTAAAAGAATCATCAAGAAGTAAAGGAAAATCGAAATATATTGAAAATGAAATAATGCGTATTGCTGTTACAAACACAGTTGTATAATTAATTCTACAGATATTTTTTTAATAGAAGAAAATTTCGATTGAGATTCTGATTGATAAGTCGATGGAGTAATTACATTTATAACAGTAAAGTGAGAGAGAAATACTACTAATATGAAGTATAAACTTCGAAAAAGATAACGTTAAAGAAGACAAGAGACGATACTATTTATAAATTATAAATAAATTTAAACAGATTTAAAAATAGATCTGCCAACTTAATTATTTAATTTCAAACTGTCAATATTTACATTAAAACTATACTATGAAATTTGTCATTTCAGAACTGGCCAAGTGTATCTGCGAAGTGGGCACAGCACTCGGAGCGGTATGTATATTTGATTTTATAATAAATATATAACACATTTATACTACATACATGTACATATAATATATATACATATATATTTGGGAGGAAAGAGTAACTTCTTTTATCAATAAAACTTTCCCAAATGTTCCCATGATCATAATAACATTTAATTTTATGTATCTTTCCAAAGATATTATATGTATATAATATATTATACTGTATATGCATATATTTTAGGGGTTGTTCATTAGTTATTAAAAAATTCATAATTAAAACTTCGAACATTTAAATAAGTATGCATAAACAAAAAAAAGAATAGTGGTACCTAAAAAAATAAAATGCAATCTTTTATTAAATTACAATAAAACTATAAGAAATATCTTTTATTTAATTATATATATATATATATATATATATATGTACATACATATATACATGTACACACGCATATTTAATACATTATTAAATTTTGCAATTGTATTGTAACGTAACTTTTGTGATAATAATGTCAAATTCGTATCTGACTACATTTTGTAATTATTTATATTAATTATTATATATATCCCTAGAATTTATTGCTTGTATATTATTAAGTCGTTCTTTTAATTTTAATACTTTAATAATTAAATGAAAATAGTATAACTACCTGAGCAGAAATGTTAAGTATTTGATAACACAACATCGAAAGGAGGATGTTAAAAAAAGTCTATTTCTCGACGATCGATGGAACTTAAAATTCGAGTTCCATGGGTATCTATGAACCATATAAGATGTAAAAATGATGGTCTTTTTTTCTAGAGACCTAAGGAAAGTATTGAAAATCTATCAAAACTATTGAAAATATCGTCATTCGATCAATCTAAAGACAACTATAAAATCGATGACATAGATAAATTTTCAATCAAATCAAGTTCTGGTTAAGCACTTATTAAATAGTTTTTGAGATCAATAATGTTTTAATATCGGGATCGCAAAATTCAAGATTGTGGATTTAATATGGTAGATCAGTATTGAGAGAAAATAGATTCCAGGATGTAGTTATTTCTGAATAAAAGATCTGATTCCACATTCAAATATATTATGTTTTTTAGTTTGTTTATTTAAATATTTTTGTTTCATTGTTGAATAGAATTCTTTAGTTCTAACATAGAGAATATGAGAACTATTAATATTCTCTATGTTAGAACTAAAGAATTCTATTCAACAATAAAACAAATATATTTAAATAAACAAACTAAAAAACATAATGTATTTGAATGTGGAATCAGATCTTTTATTCAGAAATAACTACATCCTGGAATCTATTTTCTCTCAATACTGATCTACCATATTAAATCCACAATCTTGAATTTTGCGATCCCGATATTAAAACATTATTGATCTCAAAAACTATTTGATAAGTGTTTAACCAGAACTTGGTTTGATTGAAAATTCATCCATGTCATCGATTTTAGTTGTCTTCAGATCGATCGAATGACACTATTTTCAATAGTTTTGATAGATTTTTAATACTTTCTGCAGGTCTCTAGGAAAAAAGACCATCATTTTTACATGTCATATAGATCATAGATACCCCCATGGAACTCGAATTTTAGGTTCCATCGATAGTCGGGAAATCAACCTTTTTTAACATCCTCCTTTCTGTCTTGTACGAACAAAACTATTTATTTATTTTAGTTTCTTTTGTGTAAGACTTCAATAAACAATAAACAACCGTTAAAATTTTCTGAAAGTTATTCAGAATCATATTTTTGGCAGCATACTTATGCGAATGTAAAGATCATAAAAGAAGAAGAACGTTCTGCAAAATTAATTTTTCTAAAGTATTTATAGTTTTTTAAATTGATAAATTTATATTAATTTTAGATAAAAGAAAATACAATCTACATTTTAAAGATTTTAAGAATGTGTGACACTTGCATCACCCTTCTGACCAATAAAGTGAAGTGCAACGATAATACTTGGCACTGCTACAAAAAAGGTAACCGATAAACGTATTATATTAAGTAATTGTTATTATTATTACATTATATTATAGTAATAAAAATAACGAATTGTATATTACTTATATTAAAAATACTCTTATGTTATAAAGATAAATATAAAGCTAAAGATAATCGATATTGATATATAGATCATGAAGATTTATTTCTTATTTTGTTTTAAAAAATAGAAATAAATCATTAAAATATTAATCTTTTGCTCTGTATCTTACGGATATTAATTTAAGTGAGTTTTGTATTTTCTATTTCATCAATTTCATAATGAGCAATCTCTCGATAACTTTAATTATTTTCAGAAATCAATCAAATTAATGCTTCGATATCAATTATATAATTAAATTACTTTATTTATATCTATTCTAATATAATTCAAAGTGTTTATAAAATCTATTTTTATTTTAAAATAAAAGGTAAATAAAAAAAAATAAAGTATAATTAAAAATTAATAACACAATATAAATTAAATATAATAAAAATAACTAATTAAATAAAAATAATAATAATCCAAATAAAAGCCAACTACAAACAAGCTATAATGATTAGGTTGTCAATACATTTACTATTACGGATTAAAACACATAATTTTATTTGTTCAAATTTATGATATCCAAATGTTGTTACTTCTAAATGATTAATTAACATGCGAAATATAATTGTATTGAAGAAGACTGTCGTGCAGTCGAAACGTATACAGATGTAAAGTATTTTGAGTATGTGTTTTAATCCATAATATAATAAATGTATTGACAATCTAATCATTATAGCTCGTTTATAGTTGGCCTTTATTTAGATTATTTCAGTTATGTTTTGAAATTATACAAGCTAAATTGTTTTAAATTTATATGAAAATAATAATGATAATAATAATTAATTAATATAAATTTAATAATTAATTAATTAATATAATTTCAGACATATGTCTATAATAAAAATAAATATATCTTCCAATATCTATTATTATTCAAATGTTCTAGAAAAATAATTATATAAGTCGTAAAAAAATTTAATATCTAAAAATAATTGTCAAGTATAATATCCTTAAATTACAAATTTAGTAGTCTTTACAATTTGGATTAGTATTGTTTGTACGTTAAGATAATATAAAATTTCGGAAATAATTAAATGTTTTTTTCTTCTAGTTGAAAACATGCAAATTCAACCATTGAATCAATTATTCAATAGCCCGCATAACAAAACTGCAGACTTCTGTACTTGCGTAGTCGAGCGTAAAACATTGGATATGGTCGATAAATGAGAAATAATAAAGAAAATTGCGATATATAAATACGAATTCTCTGTTAAACGGAATAGCAAATACTGTAGTAAACTTTAGAAAGATTATGTTTCGTTAGAATTTTCAAATTTTGTATTATTATTATAACTGAAATTTAGATTAAAATTGTACAAGTTGTACAATTGTAAATTATACCAAATAAAGAATATTCCTGCAACTTAAAATTGACTAATACAATTTTTTATTATTTATATTAATTGTTGTAGGTCGAATTTAGTTTTTAGGGAGCATTACTTTTATTACACAACTCACTGTAATTATTCTGTCCAAATAGAACCCTGCACATTTTATATAGAAATTGTTCCAATTAAATTCGCTAAAACTGAAATATAGTAATTTAGATGATGTTGATAAAAAAACTCCAAGAGCACAGAGTCCGAAAATCAAAACTATAAAAAATAGATTGAATTGGAAGTGAGTGTCTTTGGAGTTAAAAAAATGCCGGTTTTTGAATGTAAGTTAATATTCCCGATAAATAAGTATGAAGTTTTATTGCAACTAGCTATAAAAATTATTCTAAACATATAATGTATTAAAATGTTATATTCAGATATTATATGATACTAATTTGCTGCGTATATTTTATTACCACGTTTATATGTGCTTTAAATAAAAGCCTTCTTGACAATGTGCGCATGCTTACAAATGATGTGATATTACGTGCTATAATTCAAAATCCGAGTATTACCATAAGCACGGCTATTAAAACTTGTATTACTAATTATTGTGGCTCGTGCCCATTTTTTAAATGCATTTATATGTGTGAAAACATGGCGAAATAAAGATAATTGTAAGATAATTAACTACATTAAAAGATGTGAAAATTTGAACAAGACCTTATCTCGATATTTTCGTATATACACAAATGACAGAAGAAATCTCTATCTCTCTAATAAATGATATCTATTCAGAATTAAAAAATTAGAAACATTATAAATATTGCAACATTCATATGTACAGCTATAGCTATAGCAGGGGAGAGATGTTCCATTTCTTATTATAATTTATATAAATATATATTATATTATTGCACATTACAATTACAATACAATAAAGTAATTATAATTACAATTACAATTACAATAAGTAATTAAGTACAATTAAATTGACAACTTTTTTTTTTAATTAAATTCTCATTAATTATTTTGCAAAGATCACCAAACTCATTTGTTGATGTATTGTTGCTCGTCATTTTGGGAGTAGTTAATTATACAGTCTAACTATTAATCTTGATTTTGCTAAGATCAAACAATCTCTTATTTGCATTTTTATTCATTATTCTTTTTCTCTAGTTTTCACATTTTTCTTCCGTGCACAATATAAAAGTGACATTATTTATCATGACGACATTTTCACTCTACGCATGCGTATCAGCAAGTAGTGAAAAAGATAGTGAGTTAATAGCGAGATAATATTAAGAGCATTAATTGTAGATGAACATTAATATACACAAATTTAATTTATTGTCAGAAGAAATTGCGACAGTGTAAACAAATGCGAAAGAGAAAAGGATAAAGAGATTGGTCCATATAAATATCACTGACGATATCAATAACTTACAGTATAGTTCAGATTATCACGTCTGGCAGTATTCAAAGAGAAGCAAAATGAAAGTTGTTGTGCTCATAGCTTGTATGTTGGTAAGTACAGAGCTATTTTAAAAAATAGATGTGATTTTCAAAAATCCCGAAAGTTTTTTTTATTTGATATAAAAACTATGTTAATCGCAGTATGTCCCTCTTGAAATAAAACAAGTTCAATGCAAAATGTAATTCTGAATAATCAATACTTTCGAATATCATGTAAGATTAAAATAAGTTATTATGAACTTCGAGACATATCTATTAATGATTCAAAGTTGCAATAAATTTAACAGTTTAATTATATAGAATGACTTAAATATATACATTTTTAATCATTCAGATCTTTTTATTATAAATAAAAGATAATTTTTGTTTCAAAATGTTATTTTTAAATGTTCTTTTTAAAAATGTCATATCTAAATATTCTCTGAGAAAGTACTAAAAGATAATATCGATTATTTTTTATTCTAGGCGTTAGTTGCCGGCGAAATATGTTCCATAAACGGAACAATATTTAGACAGTGGATGGAAGAATATAAAAAAGGACCGCCTATAATGCCGGAAGAAGATGGTAAAATATTGTTTATTATATTGCTTATTATTGTAGTATTCTTAGTTTAATCGAATATAATTATGTGCGCAAAGCAAAGTTATAATATTCTTTGATAATAAAAAACCTTAAAATTTGCAACGCATGTATAAAATTATTATTGCAATGCATGCATAGAAATATATTTAATTACGTGATTCATAAACACACATTTAATATATAAATTTTTAACAGAAAACAAAAAATATAATCTTCTATAAGACTCTTTCGATCAAAATATCTGCACTTCCTTTAGATTCGCGTATCCATTATAGTGCGCAGTTTGCGCGAAACTGATTCTCGTGCGAAGTATCGCGAGCGCGGGTCCGATGGTCATGTGACCAGTGGTCACATGACCAGTGGTCACATGACTATTGGCCACGTGACCATTGGTCACATGACCATCGGACCCGCGCTCGCGATATCTCGCACGAGAATCAGTTTCGCGCAAACCGCGCAGCGTGATGGATATATGGAGTATAAAGTCTCGCGCGAATCTAATGAAAACGTAGATATTTGATTACAAAAGATTCTTGTAGAAAATTTTATTTCTTCTTTGTATTTTCTGTTAAAGATTTAAATATATTAAATTTTTATGCGTTGCATAATTAATTAATATATTTTTATGCATTGATTGCAATAATGATTTTTGCATGCATGCGTCGCAATTTTTGAAATTTTATTATCAAAGAATAGGTAATATAACTTCGCTTTTCGTGCGTAATATTCGGTTAGATTAAACGAAATGATAATTATGTATATAATTATTATGTATATGATTAATTATGTATATAATTTTGATTTCTGAATTTTTATTATGTACCAGACAACACAAAAGCGCGCGCTTTGCACGCATTATTGATATTATTTTTATTTTTGTTTTACAATTATCAAACTATTAATTTTCACGATGGAATTATTTTATGTTATTAATATAATACACAATGTTAATCGAGACAACCAGTCAGCATCGCGGAAAAGCAGCAACAATTGCTACTTTTCCGCGATAATCGACTTTGCCTGCCTTTTTAGAAAGGAATCATCTGCAAACTTAGTTATTTAATTTCAAACTATTGTTAAACATATTACGAAATTTGTCATTTCAGAAATGTTTAATCAACTCTATTATGCGGCCGATAAAGGGGGATTAGTACGTACATTTGATTTTATAATAAATATGTAATTATACATTTATGCTGTTCATATACAATATACATATATACTTTTGAAAGCTAAATTTCCCTTTTTTCAATAAATTGACGTTCCAAGATTATAATAATTTTTAATTCTATGTATCCTTTCAAAGATTTTAGCGATTATTTATTTTTTTTATTAAAAAATTGGCAAGTAAAAATTTGAATAACTTTTGAATGAACAATAGACGACCGCTAAAATTTGTTAAAGATTACTCATAATTTTGATGTCTACGTCAAGATTATAAAATAAAAGAAAATGTTAAATATTTTGAAATCTTATGAAATATTAAATTGAATGTTAATATTCATCAAAAATTTATAATTTTCAAATTGATTTTTAAATTTATTTCAGATCGATAAAGATAAGAAAATGATCAATCTTTCAAAGACTTTACAATTTTGTGTATGTCTCGTCTCTGATCAAGAAAACCGAAACAAGTGCAATATTAATACTTACTTTTGCGACGCTAAAGGTAACCGAAAAACATTATGCTAATTATTGTTACAATATTATTATTACATATATTATATCAATAAACTACATGCATATTATTTTTATTTTTATACTCGTATGTTGTATCGATAATTGATATATCATGTAGATTAATTTTTTTATCTCTTAAAAAAACAAATAAATCAATAAACATTAATTTTTTTACTATATCTTCCGGATACGAATTTAAATGTTTTTTGTGTTTTCACAATTAGTAATCTCTCAATAACTCAATAACTCTGTATAATTATATCTGTCAAAATCAATCAAATTAATGATTTAACATCAAATAACTTAATATGTATCTATTGCAATATCTATTATAATATAATTTAAAATATTATATAATTTATAAAACTTATTCAATTAATTTTCAGAAAGCAAAAAAAAATGTTAACAATAAAATAATTATCAATAATAATAATATAATAAACAATAAATATAGATTAAAATATTTTAATATTTTAAAATAAAAGATTTGAATAAAACTGAAATAATTAAAAATTAATATATATATATATATATATATATATATATATATATATATATTATATATACATACACATATATAGTAGAAATAAATCTTCTAAAATCTATTATTTAAGTGTTCCAAAAAATATTTATATGTATATCTAAAAAATTTAATATCTACAAAAATAAAAATAATTGTTATCAATTAACATTCTTAAATTATAAATTTAAATAGTTTTTATACAATTATTGTATTAATACTATATATTAAGACAATATACGTTAAGGTAATAAAACTTCATTTACTAGTTGCAGAAGTAATTCGCTAAAATGTTTTTTGTTCTAGTTGCAGAAGTAATTAAGCATGCCATTAGCTTAAAAAACCCGATGTGATCAAACTCTTCATACAATGCGTAGTAGATTGTAAGACGCTAGATCTTGTCGATAAATAGAAATAAGAAAGACGAAAACTACAATACATCTTTATATAGATAAAAATTCTTCGTTAAACGCAATTTATCTGAATAGCAAATACTATAACATACTTTAGAGTTTTAGAGAGATCATGTCTTGTTACAAGTTTCTTTTGAATGTAATATCTTATTTTAACCGATTTAGAATTATATAAAATATATAATAATTGTACAGTAAATCAAATAAAAAATATTCCTGAAATTTATATTAAATAAAAGACAATTCTATTTTATCTATTATTGGCTTTATTTATGTAGAATTTAGTTTTTAAGAAACACTTGCTTGTGTGATATCACACACATCTCTATGTGAATATTGTAATTACTGTAAAAAATTTCAAAAACGGGTTTAATAATTTTATTGAATGCACGCAAATATTCAAACTGCTATTAAACTGCTCATAGTGTGTTTTATAATTTGTATTAAGATTTTTAACATATGTTAATCAAACAATATAATTTACCTAGTAATGCAAAAAAAGAAACTAATATTGTAGTAATCGACGATTGATAATAATATTAATTACGTTTTTGATATCAAATACAAAATAAAAGTACAAAATAAAATAAAAATTGTAATAGTAAAATCTATGTTATTCAAATTAAAATATTTGCTGAAGTAGATTTGCGAATTAAAACGTTTTATTACTTGCAGAAATCACTTTTTAAATATATAAAATATAATAAAATATAATAATAATAATAAATTTATTTATATATGCAAAATAGTAAAAATAAATAATAAAAAGTTATAAAATTAATGTCCAACTAACTGTACAAATTATGTTAAGAACAATGTTCTAAAATATAATATTCAAACATAATATTCGAACATTATGATACTTATCTGCTGCGTATATTTCGTTATCGTATTTAATCACGTGCATTAAACAAGAGGCTTGTTAACAATTTACGCACATACGCACTTGTGTCAAGATAGTGTCTTACATTTTTAATTCAGAATCTGGATATTAAAATAGAGTACACAGCTATTAAAATTTTAATTATCGATTAATACGTCCATAATTGCGTTTTTAAATTATTTATATTAAAATTATCAAGATAAAGCTATAAAATTTGAAGTAAATTGATAATATGCTCAATATAATCTTGCCTTCATGCTTTTTATACACATTATGCTGATAAGAAAAATTTTTTTCTCTTTCTTCAACAGACAAAGCTATATACATTTCAAATAAAAAATATTACACACATATCATGTAAATCTTATAACACTTATATAATACATATATCACGTGTTTCTGAATATAACAAAAAATGTGTTGATGCAGTTTTTAAATTGTGATTATAATGCATTAATAATGACAGAAAAACTGATTAGAAATCCTCGAAAACTGAGAAAAATTATTAAGAGATCTATAATAGCGATTTGTGTACTAATCAAGTTAATTCAATAATATAATTTGCCAGATATCGATAATATGCAATAAATTATAAAACATGTAATTTTTTTGAAGGAATTTAAAAAAAAATTTTAAATATACAGAAAATTGTCTTAAAAACAAATTCGTGTTCAATTTTTTTTCATTATTAATATATTTTCTTTAAATATTAAAAGATTTGTTCATTCCTTCAAAATAAAAAAAATTGCTTTTTAACATTATCTTTTTTTTATTTGAATTATTATTTCACATATCAAATTTTAAATATCAAAATTTGTAATACAATTGAGTTTTCCAATTAAATATATTTTTCTTATTTTTTTAATAGTTTTATAAATAAATAAATTTTTTGCATTTCTTACCTAATTTAAAAATTTTCATTTATACGCGTATCTATATTTAACTTCTTTAATGCTTTTATGAAGTGTATAGAAGCATGTAATTTTGCAAATACTCATGCGTAAAGTGACACTTTTTTTTATTATCAAGATATTCGTACTCTACACGTGCATGCAAATTAGTGAGGAGAGTAATGGGGAGAAACGCAGAAAACATTATTGAGAATATGAATGTTAAATATACAAAAATTTACATCATCATACAAAAATTTAATCGGCCAGAGAATTTACGGCAATGTAAACAAATGCGAAAGAAAAGAGGGTAATAAATTTTTCCACTTGATGGACTATGCAATATATAAATACCGCTCACAGAATCAAATGGTTCACAGTACAGCAAAGATTGTTAACGTTTTGCTCGTCCATTCGTAAAAACAAAAAAAATGAAAACTCTCCTACTCGTTGTTTGTATATTGGTAAGTACTTTTGTAATTAATAGAATTTATACATTTTATGACAAATTTTAAAAATTATAATAATGTATATGTTTAAATTTTTGAATAATGTAAATAATTTAAATAATTAAAAATTTTTAAGTAATTAAAAATTTCCATGTTCTTTTTGTATCTTCAATTTTATTTTCTTATTACTTATATATACATTACATTATAAACCATATAAACGCTGAATAATTTTGTTAATCTCATGTAGTATACATTATAAATAAATAAAATAATATCTATTTTAATAATTTATATATTTTTTATAATGTAGATTATAGCTCTTTATAGCCTATTACTAATCTTTGTTTAATTTATATTTTTTTATTTTTTTCTTATTGTTCTTCAAATTTTTATAAATGATTGTTTTTTAAAAAAAAGTAATCATTCATTATTATTAAAATATCTTCAAAGAACATTCCTATATTAAGTTATTAAAATTATCAAAATTACTTCATGCTTATATTATCTAATTCTTAGTTATTCACACAAATATTTCAGATTTTTAGTCTGTTTTCGAAGAGAACATTTAACATAGTTTTGTTTCAAAAGACATGTAATTTTTCAAAGCGTTTGCAACATTTAAACTACATTTTTTATAAAAATTATATGTTTTCTATCTAGATTTTTATAAAATATACTCAAGCATATCCAATAGTTTAGGATTGATTGAATTATAAAATCGTTCAAAAACTAGATTAAAAGTTGGAATACGTAATTTTACGAGAAATACATCGAAATGTTCACATAATTCTAATTTTCAAATTATTTAGTATAGTAAGAAATACGTTGTTTTATTTAAAAAATAATTTACTTTAAATAAAAGTGCTTATTTAAATAAATAAAACTTACTCGTATGTTTAAAATAATATTTTAAAAAATTCCGAAAACTCTTTTATTTGTCATAAAACCGTGCTAATCACAGTATGTTTCTCTCGAAATAAAAGAGGCTTAAAGCAAAGTGTGTTTTGTATAATCAGTATTTTCTCGAATATAATCGCATAAAAGGATTAAAATAAGTCACCATGTTATAACGTGCATATTTGTTGGCAAACTAAATTTCAACTTTAAGAATTTGATCGTACAGAATAATAAAAAATATACACATTTTTTAATCATTTTTATTATAAATTTTAGAAAAAATATTACTCTCTTTTAAAGTATAATTTTTAAATGTATATTTAAAAAAATTTTTCAATATGATTATTTCGAATTTCAGACAATCGCTCATGCCGAATTAACCTTACGAAAAATTTTCATGGATCATGTACAAGAGTGTCGAAAAGGATTGCCGATACAAACTAGAGATGAGAGTGAGTATGGATTATCAAATAGTAATATTACACACAGATATTTGTATCTTTGTAAAAGATAATTCAGAGAAGGTAAAACTGAATAAACTATAAAATAGATATATTAACTGCAAATTTAAGCATTTTGTCTCAACATTGACATTTCTAATTGTATTATAAAATTTGTAATTTTAGGAAGACGCGATGTTGGTTTGATTTTCTGTGCGGCGAAAAAAGTTGGCGGAGTATGTATATTTATATATAATATTATGATTTTGTTTTAAAAACCAAACTATCCTTTTTCCAATAAAATTGACGTTAACAAATGTTATCAAAATCACGATTCTAACGTTATTTCCAAAGATTTTAGCTCATTGTGTATTTATTAAAAAAATTATTATACAAATAAAATTCAAGTATTTGAATGTCCCAGAGTAAATAAGAAGATAAAAAATAATGATCGTAGTTTTCGTTGAACTATCACATTAGAATTTTTAGAAAATTTCTCTTCTTGAAAACAGAGTATAATATTTTAGTATAAAAACAAATGTTAAATTTATATTTCAGATCGACGAAAAAAATAAATTCGTTAGAGAAAAAGTTCTATCAAATTGCGCAGATATTATTTCATCCGATCCGGTTAAAATACAGAAGTGCAAAGATATCTGTAACACATGCATTGATGAAGGTAACCAATATACATATTACTAATCAAAACTAATTAATTTAATGCCTCAGCATCAACTTCAAACTCAAACTCAATGTTTACACACATTTTTATAATTTTATATATATAATTTACAAATTAATTATTTTGTTCAAAGAGAGAAAAAGATTAACACAGAAAAAAATTATAAAAAATATGAAATAAATTAAGCATTCAAAAATTTTAAAAACAGTAATTGAAGAAAACAATTAGAAATTCATATATGTTATTGCAAAAAATATTAATTTTTCATAACAATATCTAGTTTTCAAGATGTACACAAGAAATGCAAAATAATATTTAAAAATTTGTTAATCGTACCAAAGTTTATTTAATATATATATATATATATATATATATATATATATAAAAGTAAAAATAATTATAAAAAAATCTTCTATTATTTTTCTCATAATATAAATTAGTATTGTATTAATTAAAATTATATGATAATTCAAAATAAAATTTTAAATATTATCTTCTTTTCCAGGACTTAAAGTTCCAGGAAGCAATTTAATAAAGACCGTTAAAAGCATACAATGTGCAATATCATTCGGCTTAATGGCACTTATGGACGAATATTGAAAGAAAAATTATAGGATCTTTATTAAACACATTTCGTCTAAATGGCAGATTTTTCTATCAATTTTGAGACAATTTCTTAACTAAAAATATCAAAGAAATCATATTTTATCGCAATGTTTATCATCTAATCTTTATTTTATAATATATCAACCTAAATAAAACTTCGTATAAACATATATTAAAACAAACTAAATAAAAATTGTTTCTAAAGCTAATCAAAAGATCAAAAATTATTATATTTAATAATTTTCTTTGTTACTTTGTGTGGAACGCAGCTTTAAAAAGCGCTTTATTTTTGAAGCTATGATATCTTGATATTTTTAATTAAAACAATTAATTTAAAATAATAAAAAATTTACTATACAAAAGAAATGTGTTTATAATGTTTAAATCTCTTGTATAATATCAATCATAAAAATTAAAAATTTAATTTTGAATTTCAATATTTCATTTTGCGTCGTTTTTTTAGAAATTTTGGATATACAAGCTGCCTTTTGTTGATAAATTGTAATTAATTTGCTGCGCAGATAATTAAATAAATTGTGGCAACCAATACTTGTATAAAATATTTTCCCACAAATCCGAACTTTATATTTTATACAGTAAAAGGACAAATATATTCAAAGAAAAGTAAGTTTTAAAAATTACAGAAAAATTAAACTATTTCGATATTGTAAATAATAAAAATATATATCTTTTATTTCTCCATATATACATAATACTTATTATTTAATACTTTTCATTTATGAGAAAAGTAAAAAAAATTATAATTAATTAAAAAGTGGTCTTATATTCATGAAATCAAAGTAATTAGCATGTAATGTATATATATATATATATATATAACAACAAAACATTCTTACACATATATTCTCATATCTAATATATAACATAAAAAATAAAATATTTGATAAATCATTACAGTTTTCTAACTATATTACTTTATCCTTTTACGGGAAATATTCTAAATATAATCGATTTGTATGGAAAATTTAATGTGAGTAGTAAAGATTCCATTTAAAATAAATGTAATTACACTATTCTAGTGCATGGTTGCATTAACAAAAAAAAACTTCGTGGAAAGCTAGTACTTATTGAATCATTCACATTTCTTCTATATTATTTTTCTCTATTTTCAACAGAACACAAAATATTTTAGCTGTTACATTTCTATGATTTATCTTATAGCGCGCGCGCGCACACACACACACACACGCAAATATATGTACACACACATATATGTAATACATAAAGAAAGGATAAAGTTGCGAGTGTAACGTAAAAGATGAGATATTGGCGTTATCGTTCCACTTCAATTGTCATAGGATCCCTTTATGGTGCGACGCCTCATAAACGACGACGGGTCCTACATATCGATGGTTTCGATATATCGAAGGGGAAAAGAGAAAGAGAAAGAGAGAGAGAGAAAATATACAATATATATATAAATGTTCGTATTTTTAAATTCAAATATTACTTTGCAAATTCTCTTAATCTTTTATTCTGAAATTTTAAATACAAATTTTAAATACGCACAATTTAGATAACTTAGTAATTCAATTACATTTTGAAAATTTTATTTAAAAAAATGTTATACACACAAAATTTGTACAAAAAGTTTTCTCTTTTAAAGAAATTTATTTTTTATATTAATTTAAAAGTAAAATTGAATGAAAACAAAATATAAATAACTTAACGGTTCAATAACAATTATTTTATACAAAAAATATTTGGAAAACTTAAAATAAAAATTTAGTTTAAGTAAGATTTATTCGTGTAAAAAATTTTAAATATTATTGAATAAAAATGGGATTTTCATATACACATATAATTTAATTAGAATTACTTTTTATTAATAATTAGAATTTTAAGATAAGTATAGATACTTTTCTTAATTTTTAAATTATTTAGAATGTTATTTAAATTATTCAAATTATAATTATAAATAAATTTTTCTTTCAAGGAATTTTTTGTTAATTTTTTTCAATTTTCAGATATATAACATTATCCGAATAACATTTGTTAAAAACAAAATAACATTATATAATTTGTATATCATCATCAAAAGTGTCTGAAAGAGTGACGAGATCCAATTTATTGATTCTGTCTGCTTTTCAAAAATGTTTATATAATCATTACGCTAATGATACATGTTGCCCTCGATGAAGGGATTTGTAATCGTAGGTTATAAGTTAGATACAACGATTCCCTCAGGCACGTGTTCGAGATGCCCCTCTTTACTAGATACTAATCTTTTCGGTCTCCCCTCTGATCCCGCTAACAATAATCATTTTTAATCAATTGTAATGTTACAACTTGCTTCTAAGCGAATTTCGTATTAATTTTCGAAAGAATATATATTTATCTATACCTATAATCAAAATTTATATATTATTAAAAAAATAAAATAAAATACAGCGATATTTTTCGCTTCTGTTTCAACCTGAAAAATTAATATTTAAGCATATTACATTAGTATACATATAAAAAATTGCATATTACGGCACTCATATAATTATAATTAATTTGAGTTATTTATATTTTTTGTATAGTTGGTTTTAGTTGACTGAAACAAATTGCATTTCAAAAAGAAAACAAGAAAGAAAATATAAGATAATAACGTATAATATACACTAAATGAATAATGTAGAGAATAACTAGGGTCGAAGAGCTGCCGGAGACATTGCGACCCTGTTTCACTTCAAATGACATCTTTGTGGAACAACACGACTGGCGCTGATGGCTGCCGGAAATTAGGTGATTGTTAAGCCAGGTTGCAAACGTCGGTTACTGACAGTGGGATTAATTACAGACATAATATCTATGTTGCGCCGTATTCAGTGGAAACCAACTGGAGATCCTTAATATGTGAGAACTGTCACCCTAATTCGTATGTAATATAATGTAAAATATATAATCTATATATATAAACGTTTGTAAATTTTCTATATTAAATCCTCTAATTAATCCTCTCAATTTTTAACGCGTAAAAAATTAATTTGATAAAAACATCTTTATTTAGACTTATAATGTGATATTTAATTTGTATGTAAAATAACAAATTTTTAAAAATCAAAGTAAAAAAATTACATTTCTGTCTCATGTTTCTCGTGTAACAATAAATAGAAATACATCACTCTTTGTAAAAATATGTATGATTAGAGAATTCATATCTCGAAAATGTGAATAAAATATTTTATTCTTCAATAAATAGATTAATGTATCAAAATATTATACAGCATTGTTTTTAAACGTCTTATCGCTAGTACAAATTACTGCTCCAATCCAAGATTGTCGAAAGGGAGAAACGTTTCTTCATTGCAAAAAAGAATGTAATTTTGTGCCCAGTGCAAATTTAGGAAACGAGACGCTAACGAATGGCGGAAATGGCGCGATGCGCCGGACTTGAAAATCTATTATCGACGGAATTAGCAGTGCCTCGGGATACGTATTCCCGGCGACGTGGGCGCACGCACCCTTTGTCTACCCGCTAACGATATGGGGCGGTGGATAAGGGTGGCGCGGTACTCGCACACGGTCCCCTCGGCAAACATCAGACTCGCGTTAGCCGCCAGAAATCAGGGGGATATCCGGAGAAATTCACCCGAGGGAATCTCTGTGTGCCGTTGCGCCGTTATATCGAGTTTCCGAATAATTCGATCGTCCGCCTCTTTCGACCAGCCCTTCCTTCGATTCACTCCTCGCGAATCTCTGCAGTCTATTTTTTTACAAAATAATATTCTTATTTCTGGACTTAGAAGTGACTCCAGAGTCTCTGAGAAGAGAAGGAGTAATATGAACAATATATATAAATCTTGAGATGGAAATTTTTAATATTATTATATAAAATAATATTAATAAGAATCTATTAACATCAGCTGTATTTGATTCGATTCGCTTTGCCTTTTAATTTCTTTAGATATACTGAGTATTTTCCTCGATTATATTTTGATGAATAAAATTTGCAGGAATCAAAATTGGCAAAATCAACAATTAAAGATATGAGCCAAATTATGAAGCGTTAAAATTAAAATAAATTTATTTACATATTTAAAACCAATCGACTACAAATTAACATGACGAAGAACGGGGATACAATAAAATTATTATTTAGAATCGATCGATTACAAAATTAATTAGCTATAACATGAAAAGTAACCCAAAGATAAAGAGAGAGAATTGAAAGAATTGACAAACTTTTCTGTATAAAAATACACTTTTACATTATTCCCCATCAACACATTAACGTTATATAAGCGTTTCAGGAACGTTCGACCCTTAACATTTATAAAACATGTGACTGTCCATCTAGTCAAACGTTATAATACTTACGATTCATTTGAGGCTTATTCAATAGAATGATAAAAAATTGCAAATTTAATTGGGCACATCCATATTCTCTGTACACTAAAAAATATAAAGGCCCACAATTCATCGAGTGATACAAATCTTCGGATTGTTACTGTTCTACACGGGCGTTCTCATCGTTAAAGGAACGAACCATTTGGCAGATTAACAAACGAAAAAACGTTTGTTAAACGTTTGCATAACGTTAATGTGTTGGTGGGGTTGATCTTCAAGTATATCAAGCATTTTTCGATATATTTGACGCGACGCTAATATATATATCGGGATTCAATGGTTTCTTATGGGCACCCAAAACTGTCAACGGCAGAAATGACTCGCGGTGGGTCCCATAAATTTCGAACAGACGATGTCTGGACCGATAGTTTCGCCAGATGAACTGCTTCTAGGCGTGGTTATGCGGGCAAGCATCCTATATATATATATAGTATGTACACAGGGGATGGCGGTTCTACTGATGGTTCTCGTAGTCTATACCCGTCATGGTGCAAGACTTGATGCTTCCGCAACTCCCGGGAGCATCGTAGCTCAAACTTGTTCCCCAATTCTCCGTAGACATCAACTATATTGAGAGAAATCCTCGAGGAATAGTGCATATATAGTATGTAACATTATTTTATGGAAGACATTTACGGGAAGTTCCACTTTTTCACTTTAATTGACTTAAATAAATGCATTGTAAAATCAATAATACATCAGTAAGTATTTGCTCTATGCTTTCTCCATTTTGTTATATTTTTTAAATATTTTTTTATATTTTTTGACATCAACTATATTGAGAGAAATCCTCGAGGAATAGTGC